TTGATTGCATGGAAAAAGATAGTTGGCTGACTAGTTGGGCATGCGGTTTATACTAGTTGTGAGGTAGTTTACAACTAGTTCATTTGACTACAGGGTACTGCTCCAGATGCAGGCATTCTGCTATATTCCTGCGAACCCTGGCTGGAGAATAATTTTATCGAACGGGAAAATACAAGATAGTCTACGAACCAAATATAAAATTAAAAAGCAAATAAAAGACAAAAATAATATACATTTTTAACCTTAATAAATTAAATTAAAAAAAAAAGTGAAAAAATATAATAGAATCAAATAAAATAAAAAATGAAAATAAGAGTTAAATAAAAAAATAAAAAATTCTATGAAATAAAATAAAAAAAAACCAACAAAATAAATTATAAAAAATATAAAATAAAAAAGTAAATAAATGAAAAAATAATAAAAATAAAATTAAAATAAAAATACAAATAAAACTGAAGTATAAAGAAATAAAATAAAATAAAGTGAAAACCCCAAGGAAGAGAAATAAAAAAATTTAAATCAATAAAAACTAAAGTGCAAATATAAAAGCTTAAATTAAAAGATTTAAATAAAAATTAGATTAGAAATTAAATTATATAATGGAAAATAGTATAACACAAAAGAAAACCTAAAATAAAATATAATAAAGGTAGAAAGTTTAAATAAATAAAATTAAATAAAACTATATAAAACTGCGTAAAAAATGGAAAATAAAATAGAACTAAATAAAAAAAAACGAAGTAAAACATTTAAAAAGTCAAAGTTCGGGTGAAGCAAAACATTAAATACCCGGCGCACGAGTTAAATATATATACTTTTTACGCTTTCTGAACCGTTACATGGTAAGCAGCGGTGGTTTTACCCCTATTTATATAACTTTATTGTTTAAAAGACTAAACTTTACATAAAAAATATTGCTAATTATACTACAGCCAAATCTTGTTAAAACCAACCTTGATAAAACGAAAAACTCAATATGGCAAAATTTTTATTGATTCCCCTGAAAACCGCCGCTGTTAGACTATGTTCAAACAGGCACCTAATTGGTAATTAAGAACCTTTTCACCAATTTAAGCCTTAATTGTTACCCAATTTATCATACAAAAATTCAATTTATTAATTGCCAATTTATTATACAAAAATTCAATTTATTAATTGCCAATTAATTATTAATTGGCAATTGATTTGTGTCAGATTCTCTATGCAACCCTGCTAGGTATGTTCAATTTTGACTTGGAGGTATGTTTATTGAACAAAGAGCAATCAGCTGTTTGTTTCTGTCCCTCTTTAACAGCTGATATTCCATCAGGGATGGAAAATTTAACTATAAAATTGTACTTAATTTACGGAAAGCTTTATCTAAAAGTAGATAGATGTACCTAAAAAGTAAATATGTATTTCTATATAAAGAAGATAGGAGGAGGATAACAATTCCCATCGATACCACATCAACTTCTGTACTCACATTAAACAAATTTTTGCTATGAAAAGAATCTCTTCGAGCAGCACGAGACAAACCTATGTTGTACGAAAAGGAGAATCACTTAGAAAAACCTTAGAAAAGGTGAATCACTTTCCTCCCAGTTCTCCGATCTTACGTTTAAAAATAATTATTTTCCATCTATCTGGCGAAATAAACTACAATTGCGTTACTTTGACCACCTTTTGGTATCATTTGTATGCCCCATCACAAAGGAGGGGAGGTATTGGATCAGTTGCCCGCAACAGAAAATGCATTGAAATGTCAATTAGAATAAGAACTGATTTCCTGAGAATTTATTTGGCTACGTTCCAAATGTACCTAAAATTGTGTTTGTACCGAATGCACTTGCAAACTAAATAAAGGTACGATTGTACCTACTTTTCCATCACTGTAGGTAATCCAGCAGCTGATTTCGTATCGCTAATTGCGCAGCTGACATATGTGTGAACACCAAACTCAATTCCGCAATTTAAAGATTAATTGCCTCAGCTAATTGGCCTGTTTGAACATAGTCTTACGAAATATTCCATAGAAAAATGCTCCATAGGTATTTTGAGCATTAAAACCGCCGGAATAGATTGACCGTTAAAGTTCCGTTAGCAAAGGCCCCTATATAATGGAGTGTCGACTCAAAATCCTCTATAGTACAAAGCGAATTTCGAAATTGTTGCCGGTTAGAGTCTCGTTATAAAAAAAAACGAATCTATACTTATATAACGTGTTTTTTTTTTAATTTATATACATATGCCCCCGATATTCTATATACATACATATATGTATAACGAAGCTTTGCAGAAAACGTAGCATTTGTCCAACTCCTTAAACTTGGTTATATTGAGGTTTCACTTTACAATTTGTTGAGTATCATAATGTCAAATGCCCACGCATTTACTAGAATTGAAAGTACGCCCGATAAAAGATAGCCGATAAGGGTTTCCAGTAAGTTATCAGTACTTAAATAAGTCTGCACTCATATACCGCCACCGTAAAGGAAATTTGTTTTGTGATTTTTTCTTGTATAAAGAGATATATTCAAAGAATTTGGCCGAGCTGGAAAAACCCAGTCGATAATAGAAAGACTTAAATAAATATTTCTCTACATGTGTACATCGTTCAGTACTTTTTAAATTAGACACAAAAACCGGTTGAAACTGGCTGTAACTGGTTCAAAACTACTAACGTAAAAATCCATTCGTTGTCGGCGTTTGTCATATCACTCTGCAGAGATTAAATTTCTAAATTCATTAATTTTTTACTCAAAGATAGCGTTGGACATACATACAAAAGTGTGAAGTGATTTTTATTTTGCAATGATAACTACTAGTACCTCCTTTATTCGGGCTATAAAAACCTTTGCGAAATTTTATACAACCAACATTCAAGTTTTGAAAATGTTTCGCTTTGTAGCATTATTCGCATTGGTTAGTGTGGCCTGTGGTGGTCTCTTGCCAGATGATTTGGACGGTCGTATTGTGAATGGTGTTGACACCACCATTACAGCACATCCTTATCAGGTGTCCTTGCAAACTACATCTGCTTCGCACTTCTGCGGTGGCAGCATCATCAACGAAAACACCATCGTGACCGCTGCTCACTGCCTGCAGTCCTACACAGCAAGCCAAATTCGCGTACGCCTTGGTTCCACCAACTACAAGTCCGGCGGTGAATTGGTTGCTATCTCCTCCTTCACCTACCATCCTGGCTACAATTCCAAGACTATGGTTAACGATGTTGGTGTTCTGAAATTGGCCACACCAGTTGCTGAGTCGGCGAATATACGCTACGTCAAATTGGCTGAAAAAACACCAGCTACCGGCACTCCAGCTGTAGTCACCGGCTGGGGTACTAAATGTTATCTTACTTGCTTGACTCTTCCAACTGTCTTGCAGGAAGTTGAAGTAGATATTGTGGATGAAAATGTCTGCGCCTCTAGCGAATACAAGTACGGTTCGGAAATTAAGGAGACAATGGTTTGTGCTTACGCACTGAATAAGGATGCTTGCCAAGGTGACTCTGGTGGCCCATTGGTCGCTAACAACGAATTGGTTGGTGTTGTCTCTTGGGGCAGAGGTTGCGCTAGATCGGGATACCCTGGTGTATACTCGGACGTGCCTTCGCTGCGTTCATGGATCCTGGAACAGGCTAATTGAAAATAAATTGAATGTTTTGAGTAAAAAAAAAAATTAAAAAAAAAGAAATAGAAACAAATAAATAAACTATGTTTCAATCCATGAGCCCGTTATTTAAGAAATTATGCAACAATTAGAAAACGACAACAACCGTTTAAGAGCGGTCTCTCGATCAAAGTCGTAGTTCTATATATTTTAATTCTAGACTAGAAAGATTTGACATAACAGAAATTTATGGTGTCTTCGTAAAAACTGAATTAGGTAACTTTTCGAGTCAATTAAGCATAGTTCATCTGCTGAAAACGGTACATATCATTCCATGAAGTATATATTGATTTTGCCACCTTTTGTGCAAATTCATCATTCTTGGATCCTGATCTTTTTTTCGCACTTATCGTATGTGGTCCCTTTTCCATGGTCGGTAATCATTCGCATCAAATATGGAGCTATTTCATTTTGTCTCAAAAGCGATTCGGAGTTGGAAATCTGTTTATGAGATTCGTTAATTCAGGTACACAAGCATTGGCCAAAAAGTCACCGTGCTTGTTTTGGTAATTTGGTACTGAAATTTTCCGTAAATCTTCTAAATTTGTGATAGAATTTTTGGACGTTTACGCGCTGCGGCTAGAGCTAAAAATTTTGGAGGCGGCAGATGCCAATCTCGGAGAGGTATACAGTTCTGGTTAGACTCGAAAAAGCTGACGAACTTAAGAGGAACTATTGAGACGTCGACCCCAAAACAACTGCGACCAATAAGACCCACTGGAATTCAGAGTTAAGACCAACTACAACCGTCCACGGTATCCAATTTACTCTCGACCAGAAGGACCTTTACAGTTTCATATGTTCTAGTTTTAGTTCAGCCTTTGCTAAACTGCAATAAGGCCTTTCTGCCTAAGAGTAGTTCGCTGTAGTTAAAGGTACTCCCGAACTTTCTTTTCTCATTGACACCGACTCGAGGGTGCATTTCATGGCTAACTGATGTGCAAGGAAACCCTTTATTATTGCTATAACAAGGAAAAAGCAAGACGCAACTGAAAAAGAGCTAGATCACTCCCCTATTATTTTTATTTGAATGCAATGGGGCGAGCTGACGACCCTAATAGTGAACCTGTTTGCCTTCCTTGCAGTCGTTAGCTCACTCCGAGTTTTTACAAAACTGATTCAAAAGTGCCTAAGTGCGCGTAAAGGCAATATTTTTTTATTTACGATGCTCTATTCAAGGGTCTATAGATTATGTATAGTTTACACCTTGCATTTGCTAATTCTGCTTACAATTTACGGTAAGCACCCGCAACACTGACATAACTATTGATAAAATAGACATTTTAATGCATTCAATAATTATTCTGTCTAGCCTTTTATGGCCTTCCTTCTCCACTATAAAAATGCAGTTCAAAAGCTCATTCGAGCATTAGTAAAGTAGCAGAATGTTACGCTTAACTACGCTTCTTTGTGCATTTTTCAGCACCACTTTCGGTGCATACATGTCGTCCGAACTGGATGGTCGCATCGTAGGCGGCGTCGCTACCACCATCGAGGATCATCCCTATCAAGTATCAATCTCCACCAAATTAGGCGGTCACTTTTGCGGTGGTAGTCTACTCAACGAGAATATTGTCGTTACTGCTGCACACTGTCTGCAAAGTTTTAAGGCTACGAACATGCGCATACGCGCCGGTTCCACTAATAATAAAAAGGGCGGAGAATTAGTTAAGGTTGCTGCGCTGAAGTATCATCCCGACTATAATCCAGCAACCATTGAGAATGATGTAGGCATACTGAAATTGGCCACAGCATTACAACAAACGGCGAGCATACGCTTTATAGAATTGGCAGAGAAGACACCGCCCACCGGCACACCGGCCGTAGTGACGGGTTGGGGTACGAAATGTTTTGCCTACTGTCTGATACCACCCACAGCTTTGCAGGCTGTCGAGCTAGCGATTGTACAAAGCGAGGATTGTGCTTCGAGTACTTACAAGTATGGTGACGTAATCAAAGAGTCGATGGTGTGTGCCTATGCGTTGAAGAAGGACTCATGTCAGGGCGATTCGGGTGGCCCATTGGTGGCTGAGGGCAAGCTAGTTGGTATCGTTTCATGGGGATATGCCTGCGCTAAGAAAGGTTATCCGGGTGTGTACAGTGATGTGGCGTCACTGCGTGATTGGATTTTGAAAGCCATTGACGAAATTTAAAATGTATTTGTGCAAGTGTTCAGAAAGTATAAATAAATAAAAATTAAAATATCTGATTAAAATGAAGTATGTACAAACATATTTGTGTTTTTGTCATTGACGTAAGAAAGGCGCACACAAAAGGTTTTGGATCGATAGCTTTGATTAGATAGTCTAGCTTTAATAAAAAATCACTGCGTACATACATGCAAATATAAATATTTAAATATATGACTTGTGCTGTGATTTACGGTAAGAGTTTACAATGAATGTAGATTGACCCTTTATCCTCCTGATATCGCTGGGTCAGCGAGAAATTCAAATTATACCAAACATTACAGCAAAGCTTTCGTCACAACCGAAACATTGGGCCGTATGCATAAAAACTAAGCAATTGCTTTTCCTTAAAATTTCATATCTTTCACTTAATTTTATTTGAAGAAATCGAGTAAAAGGTCTGAAATAAAAAAAAACTCATTTGCTTGGTTTTTATGCATACGGCCCATTATCTGTTGGAATTTGTTAGAGCAAGCGGGCTATCAGGCCCAGAGAGAGCGGGGTGTGCGGATAACCGCAACTAATTTTTTCACGAATAGATCGATACTCGAGGATGGAGGGATTTTCTGCCGGGAGATCTCTATCAACACTAAGTTAACAGGGCAATTCTGGTAACTATTTTGAGAGCTCTTTACTGTGTTTTGAAAGTCCAATTCTCATATAAGAATTTAAGATTATCGTTAATTTCTTCACGACATAATGATCGGATTTAGACCAAATTAACATGGAACCACTTCTGAGGTAACATCTTTCCTTTAAAAGAAGAATTATAGAAATCGGTTAACGTGGTCAAAAGTTATGAGGTAACATGCATACAAAATAAATAAAAATAAAATTTCGACGCATTGACAAACTTCTCCTTTTTGTGAAGTCGGAAAAATAAGATCCAAAAAATTTAACGAAATAAAAAAATGTATTTCTCTTTTTAAAACAATTAAAACTAAACCAAATATAAACTAAATTGAAAAATATTTCTTAAAAAATAGAATATATAATAAATTAGTATATATAATAATAAAGTAAGTTTCAAAATATTTAATGTAATTAAAAAAGTATATTTTTTAACAATAAAATCGTAAAAAAATAAAAAATTAAATAAAGTGAGTTTCTAAAAATTAAATTGCAAAATTAAATTTTTCTTTTTACGACAATGAAATCTAAAAATTAAATGAAAATAAAATAACAAAAGAAAAAAATTGGCTGCTCGAGGTCTCAAACCAGTGCTTGCCATTGCGACTGGTGCTTTCTCTCCAACTAGCTTTTCATCAGGAGTGGTGAATGATAAAGCTTTTTTTCTAAGACCTTTGTACTAGAATTGTAAAAGTCTTTCGAACTATCCTACCATCTGTCTTGCATTTGTCTACAAAAGACTTTTTTACTATCTTACCCAGAATTGTCCTGTAAGGCAGTATTTTTCAGGCAGAACTTGGCGTGAATAGAGAGGCGGAGAGGACTTAGGGCCAAATTCACAGTGCGTAGTTAACTCAGAATCGGCAGTTAATTACAGATTTCCAGTACAAAAATCTGTAGTTAACTGCCGATTCTGAGTTAACTACGCACTGTGAATTTGGCCCTTAAAGCTCCAGAGTGCGCTTTAGTTAGGGAGGAACAAATATATACAGTGGCGGTCATTGTTTCGTATTTAGTATTTACAATGTTTTTCAAGCTATATTCTTTATGATATTTTTTTTATAAAAATATGGTTCATGCTTTAAAAAAACCCATATAAATCTCACTTTCAAACTTTATACAGAGTTTACAAAAAATCCACAAATTTTTATCTAAGTTACGAGCTTTTTAACCAGATTTTTTTTTAACTTTTTTGCGTATGCCGTTAACAAGCCTATAAAATTTAAGTAAAATTAGTGCAAGTTTTGAGCGGCTAAAAAATTGCATTGATTTTTAATCATTTTTTTTATATAAACATGAGTTTTTTGTGAAAGAATATGCGCAAGACCTATTGCGAGAAAAATAAAAGAAGTCAACGCCAGCTTTCCTAAATTTCGCTCAATCAGGTCGTTGGGTGTAGCCTTCAGCCTTTCACACAATACGCACGATAAGACGTCACACACGACGTTCAGGCATCTCGATTTGATGTGGATTGCGACGACACGGTCGTCCACATGAGTGAACGACAGTACTCGGCGACGAAGTGTCTCCACTGCCACAAATCCAGCACCGAACAGCTGTACAGAGTAGACCTCGCAAGATCTCCGTGTTTCTTGCCTTGCCCTGTACATCGCATTGCATGTATGGCAGTGATGTCATTGCACGCCATTCGGAATATACATACCTACTTAAAAATGTATGTAAATGCACAATGTGTTGCCAATATTTTTCAACTGATAACTACTACTGTTTGGTAATTAGTTTTAGACGCTATCATTTTTGCGATAAACTACTTAATAATATCAAAACGTTAGCCGGCTGCAATAAAAGCTCGAGCATGCTATAAGAAGCCAGGTATAAAAATAATAAAAAGTTCATAATTGGGTACCCTATTAATGGACGATTAATTATTATTATTATTTATTAGAACAACCAGAGGTTTTAAATTACAAAGGCATGTGAACACTTAATCTTAACAGATTTTTCTTTTTAAACATACACAAAATTACATATTAAAATTAAAATTAAAATTATTGGAGCAGAAGATAAGAATTAATATACAATTAAGGCCGTGGTTACGCCACCAATTTCGATTGGTAATCACCGTGAAATTGTTGTTGTGCACAGCACGGAGTGAGAGAATTTTCGAAATCGGCCAGCACGCCAATTTTTCAGGTGGTGCAATGATGTCTCTTTGGTGGAGTCTTAAAAGCGACATAGATCGCTTTATCAGATCTCTAACTTATGCAAGTCTACAATGACCCGCCAAAATATCTGTAATAATTCTTAACCTCTCCTTGGGGAGGTTTATGAGTAGCTTATAACTCTTTAGATTGTACCCCCTAGTAAGCTCTTAGCTTAACGAAGACCCATCGTGTTTCGCCAATGCAGTACCGTCAGTTTGCTATTTTCTTTTCAGAGCATTTCCTTTAGCATGTTAGGACCTCATTTCCTCCGACTCCCATGTGCCCTGGTAGCCATATAAGCTGGATGGGATTGTTTCATACAGGGTGTTTAGCTTCGCTAGGCACTCCAGGACAAATGAGTACTTGACATCGAAGGATCAGAGCGCCCCAAGTGCCGCCTAACTGTCACTTAATGTAAGGATTCCCTCTCTTCGATAATTCCTACTAAGGTTAATCTCTGCACACAGATTAATGGCATATACTTCCGCTTGGAAGATGCTTGGGAAGGTTCCCAAGGGCACTAAAAGCTTTAGTATAGGGCCATATACGCCTATTCCAATATACTCAGAGGTCTTAGTAGAGCCGCTATAGTGTGCTCGCCTGGACATGGTCGTCTTGCTGTATATATCAACCTTAAAGCTTCTTTCGAAAACTACCACTCTAAACATATCATCTCTGCAGAAGAGAAAAATGGGAGCCTAGCTTGTCCTTGTTCCTAGATGATAAGGTCTTAAGCTTAAGAATATAAAGCCTATTAATATAGTATAGCCTGTATCAAGGTTCCCGCTTGCTGAGTTCTTACTGTATTTAAAGGTAGTTCGAATTGGAATAACAGTTAATAGCTTGTTTTTCGCTTAATCAGCAATTAAAATCCCTATCTATGTGATGGCTGAGTTGATAAAAATAAATAAAATAGTTGTGCGTAGCAGCAAAAATATTTCAGCTTTGGGCCGAATTTCTCCTGCGATTTCGAACCCGCATGGATATTGAAATAGACGTATTAGCAGCAATACATTTATATCATGCCGACTGGGTATTACAATTTTTAGAAGTAGTCTTTTTTTCCAGAAGTGCACCCGACGGCATACCAATGGCGGGCAGGAAACGACTTTGCTTGGTTATATTCTAAACAAACTACTCGCAATACCTTTCCGATTTCAAGAACAACTTTGGGATGGAACTCAAGACCTTCCATTTAGTAGCCAACATATGACGTACTCGGACAGTCAACTCAAGCAGCATATTCACTTTAACCATAATAAATACTTAAAATGGCTACGAATTAGCCAATCTAGTATGCATATCTGGCACTTCAGCTGGAATTCAGTTATTTTAGCTTCCTCGAACTCATTAGTGTATTCTAGCAATGACTTTCGGTTCGTTTTTTTGCACGCTTTTGTTCATTTCCTACGCTGCACCAGGGAACTTCAGCCCACCACCACGTTTGATCGAGGGCCGCATCGTAGGCGGCAATGAGGTATCGATTGTACGCCACCCGCATCAGATATCGTTGCGGCGTAGAACTTGCACCGAATGCGCCTATCTACATGACTGCGGCGGCAGCATATTGAACGAGGATACCATACTGACAGCGGCACATTGTGTTGTCAATCGGCGTGTAAGCAATTTGATGGTAATTGCTGGCACAAATAATCGCGCCGGTAGCGATGGCACAGTAGCGCTCGTAAGCAAAGTGGTCACCCACGAACTGTACAATGCCTCCATAACGGATTATGACGTTGCGTTGCTACTTCTCACCACACCGCTGAAGTTCGATCATTTATTTATTGCACCTGTTGCATTGGTGGCAGCTGCACCAACAGCGGGCGCAAAGGCAAAAGTCACTGGTTGGGGCACAGTTTCGGAAGGTGGTGTGTTGGCGAGCCGATTGCAGGTGGTCAATGTTTTCGTACAGGATCAAGAACAATGCATAGGTGCATACGGAGCCCGTATTACGGACGCTATGCTGTGTGCAGGCGTGGTAGAAGGTGGCAAGGATGCCTGCCAGAAGGATTCGGGTGGTCCGCTGTTGGTGGAAGATCAGCTGGCTGGCATCACTTCTTGGGCTATTGGTTGTGCACGTCCCGAATATCCTGGAGTCTATGTCAACGTGTCTCATGTGCGTGAGTGGATCGTGTCAAATGTGGCTGCTAATTCCATGTGTAAATT